ATTATTAATCAATGTTGAAATAATAAATAATAATTTAATAAATGGTGCATATTTCTCAGGTAACTCAAAAACTTAAAGATCAATAATTAACCATTCAGTCAGTAAACATTTTAAAATACCATTAGAAATATAAAGAAGCAAGAATAAAAACATTGTAAAAAAATATAATTCAAATATTCTAGAAATTTAGACTAGAAAGTTACCGAAAATTAGACGAAACAAAATTTAAGGAAACAAATACATAATAATACGTCATCTAATGACAAAAATAAACTGCCAAAACTAAAATCGCCAAAGTCACATAAAAAAAATCAAACCTTAACAAAGTAATCTCCTCTCTTATCGCAACAAGATGTAATTTTTTATCTCATTCGTAGAAAACGAAATCATATATATATATATATATATATATATATATATATATATATATATATATATATATAAAATATTAGGCAGCATATGATTTACATACAAAGAATAATCACACATAGAATTAATCAGAAGTATCAATGCGATTATTGGCGACATCCATCGCTAGAAAACATAATATATGCATTAAAATCCTGTTCATCCATAGTGCGAGTTTTGATCCTTGAAGAAAAACTTGTTGTCTGTAGTTTTTCAGTTTATTTGATGTTAAAATGCTAGTACTTACGGACGGTCTTCCATCCATCATCAGGCATGTGTTTTTTTTTTCCGTATATTTTATTTTATTTTATATATGATTTTATGATCTGACAACTTAACCAATTGATTCAGTTATGAATTTTGTGCGATAATCTTAAGGGCATTTAAGACCCACTTAGCGATAAGGAATATTAATCTATTTTTTTGTGTTGCTGAAACGATCTTTATTATTGTTTTATCTATTTTTCTGTTATTGAATATATATATTCTTTGATATGATTTTCACGCAGAATACATGTGATTATGGCTCTTCACATCTTCCGGTCCGTAAACTTTGTCCTCATTTCACTTCCTCCAGTTCATCAAACTTATAATGATTCATACACTCACATTAAATAAGTTGTTCTATTTCCCTCTATCCCTACCTTCTCTTAATGCGTCCAGTGAGTATCAAATTTTCCAAGCCGTCCTTCCTTTTATTTTCTCCTAGATATTGCAAGTGGTATTTTTTGTTGGTGTTTTTTTTTTAATTTACTTACAGATGACTTTCTTGCTTCCATTTTCTTTAAAACTTCATCATTGATCACATGATCTGTCCGTGTTATTCCCAACACACATTTGTCGCTTTAGACATTGTCCATCTTGAAGGAAATTATCCATTTTTACTAACACAAATTCGGATAAACACGACATAACATTTCAGCACAGTATTCTTCGATTCTTACGTTTGGTTTGGTTTGTTTTGTTGTAAGGCATATCAAACTCAGTGGGTTATTAATGCCAACAAAATTTTTATTGTTGATAATATTCTTTCATTCAAAAAATCCATTTTTGGTAATAGTCTTTCCTTCAAAAAATTCATTCCTGGTAATATTCTTTCCTTCAAAATCCACTTCTCCACTGCCTTAACCGGGTATTGAACTCACACCATGTGCCATGTGTCCTTGAGAATAACTTTCAGAGCGTAATTAACAGGAGATAACTGATAACTGATAACCATTAAACATGGCACGTGGAATTAGAACAGTCTACCCCAGTGAGCGAAATAAAGTGTTCAGTTCGACATTCCAACGACCTGAAGAAGGCCGGAACGTACAACGACCGAAACGTTGTAATAAATATGGCGTCAAAGATGAGGACAATAGTCCAAATAATGTAAATAATGTACATGATACCTCATCTCAGAAATATAGACAGATACCAGAATTCATTCACTCATCTACTCTTCCTTAAAGAACTCAATAAGGCACAACGGGCACTAGTTAATAATGGCTTTCCAAACCACCTTATAGACCACGAAATTAGACTATTTCTTTCCAAAGTAAATAATAGTGAACACACAGTCAAAGGTAACATGTTCTGCAAAAGCCAAATTCCCGTCAACTACAAAAAAGATGAATTTTCACTTAGAAATATCATAAAGAAATACACCATCCCAATTGTCACAAACAAAAAAATCAAATTAATTATCTACTAGAAAAAATTTAAAACAGCTATCTTTATTCTAAAAATAACAACACACCAGCGAAATCAAAATTACAACGAACGAACCATATTTACGATTTCAAATACCCCTTGAGGGACTGTCTTCCTTATCAAACCGAACTCATAAATAATTAAAACGGTCACACTACTACATGCATATCCAGACGCCTTACGTTACACGTATTCGACCACAGTTCCATTAGAAGCAATTTACACAGACACACGAACGTACCAGACTCCATGTGTCACATACTAGTAGAAAATACACACGTGATAACCTGATCCACATGTGAAAAAGATTAAAAATAATGGAAGTTTTAATAATAGAAAGAAAAAAATCAACACTCAATAATATTAACAACGAACACGGCTACGATGTTCTAACTGTGTTCGGAAAATAAAACATCCCTATAACTCTAGAAACATACACATAACCCATGCAGTCAAAAGGCAAAAATCAAATCAAAATATAACCGAAAGCGCATTTGGACAGTTTCTACACATTTTGTGTCCAAAAAAGAAAACACTTGTTCGAACAAAAGAAAAGCTTAATCGCACTGCCTTGTTTATCGTCTTCAATGAAACATATATAAATGAAAGGTTGTGGCCTAAATACACAATATATACTTGACTCTACCGTCGATTTTAGAAAAGGATTCATAACTTTCCAATGATATTAGCACTTAAGGGAATACAGTAGATATGACCGAAATTCGAACTCGGCTCTCCGATTCCTCAATTCGAGCCGCTATCTTTTACTCGACCGTGCCTCCTTATTGTTCCTGGGTATGAGAGTCAAGCAAATCACTTCCTATGAACAGACAACCAGACACCAGCACAAATGATTTGATTATAGCAGTGAAGACATTGTAGAGAAATTGGTTTTTAATCTATTTGCAGCCGAATTCACCCACAAATATGGACGAAACGTTTTGACAATAACTACAAAGATGAGAACAATAGATGGAATATAAATTATGCTAGCGGTGATATATATTATTTATGGAGGGATAAAATTGTAAAAAAGAAAAGTTAAACGTTTGGACACGAAGAGAAAATTTAAAAAGTCGAATGTTGTGAAAAGATAAGGAAAGATGATAGAAAAAATGCTTCAAAAATTTTAGAGTCAGAAAGAAAATAACTGAAAATGGTTTACAACAAATGATCGGAAATCGAAGATGTAAAAGAAAAAAGTGATTTTGGGTATGTGATAAGCGGGGAACAGAAATAATGGGGGAGAAAGAAGGGATTAATCCTAAGAATGGAAATGAGAGAAAAAGAATTGACAATAGTTTTTTAAAATCATTATGCATGAAATATAAATGATCTGTACAAAGGTGAAAAAAACGTAGGGTAAAAAAGAGATGGATAAAAGTAATCTACAGGAAGGAAGATAGAATAAGGATAAAGAGAAGTGACAAAAAAAAGAGGGTAAGATGACGAAAAATAAAGAGAAGGGAAGGAGAGTAAGACGGAAACGTTAAACATGACGATGAACATTGATAAGGAAAAAAGGAAGGAGAAAGACAGAAAAAAAGAACAAAGGAAATGTCAAAGAAGAAATAAGTCGGTAGAAAAGACAAAGGAACAAATGAGAGAGAAAAATGAGAGAAGAAAGAATATAGATCTGAGGGAATAAAGAAAGAGAAAATAAAGAGAATTATATGTGAGAAAGGCGGAAAGCGATTTTAAAGATGAAAAATACAGTAGAATTCCTCATATCCGGAATCCTTCATATCCGGAATTCCTCATATCCGGAATCCTTCATATCCGGAATTCCTCATAACCGGAGTACCTCATATCCGGAGTACCTCATATCCGGACATGATTTTGATGTGTATATTTGAAATATTTGGGTGATATGCAGCTGATTTTAAACTTCTGTTTTTCAGAAAATTTACCTTGTATAATTGTTTATGCTTATTTCACCCTGTTGGCTTGTATTGGTGTAAAAAAAAAAACATGATGGGAATAAGAGGAAAAGAACAACTTTGGAGTTATCGCAAAAAGTGGAAATTTTAAACAGACTAGACGCTGATGAAAGTTCATTGTAACTAATTGCTGAGTTCAACATAGGAAAGTCAACATTGTATGATAGAAAATCTTCCAAAGATACTATTCTACAGCGATCACACTGTCACAATGTACAAGGAAATAAAAAAATATGGTTGTGATGAAATCTGGACTGATATAGAAAATGCTATTGAAAAGGTTGTCAGTTTTATGGAAAGAAAGCCAGCATTCAGTTTTGAGAATTGCAATAACACACGCAGATTTAAAAGTGATTTCCGTTAAAAAATTTCAAAAACGAAATGCGGAAAAAGTTGAGAATGACATTAGAAGAGAAAGAATCATCATCCAACAGCGATTAAATAATCCTCGTTACATTTTTTGTTTTGCATACGTGGCATACTTAATTTAATGAATTTTTATTAACATTACATAATTTATTTCTTTTCCCTTAAAATCAATTCCGTTGTATTTCACTCACCATTAGCTTATTTTGTTTACCATATAACATCGAAAATAAAAGTTGAATCTGATTTCGGTTCTTTTATTTTAATCTAAATATAACCCCTCATATCCGGACTTTGTAAACAATTTCTCATATCCGAAATCCCTCATATCCGGAATCCCTCATATCCGGACATTGTAACCAATTCCTCATATCCGGACTTTGTAACCAATTCCTCATATCCGACATCCCTCATATACAGAATCCCTCATATCCGGACATTGTAACTAATACCTCATATCCGGAATCCCTCATATCCAGAATCCCTCATATCCGGAATTTGTACCTAATTCCTCATATCCGGAAGGCCTTAATCCGTGTGTCAGGAATCCTACTGTAGATAAATGCACGAGGGAAAAGAATAAAGAAGGAATCAGAATAAAAGAAACAAAGAAAGAAAAAGCAAAGGAATGAAAGAAAGAAAGGAAAACGGATCTATGAAAAAGAAGAAGAAATGGAGACGAAAAGGATGAATGAGGTTATGGAAAGAAAATAAATCAATAAAGAAATAAGATAAGCAAAGCTGAGAATAAATAAATCTGTTGAAAAGGGAAAGACAAAGAGAATGAAATGAAAAAATAGAATGAAGGAATAGAAAAAGAAAAGGAAGAGAAAGAAATAGCTGAAAGAATGAAGGAATTAGTAGATAAGAAAAAACAGGAAATAGGAAAAGACTGAAAACGCGTAGGAATGAGTAGAAAAGAAAAAAAAACAAATGAAGAATTGACAAAAATAACAAAGAATAGAGACATCAGTAGAAAAGAAGAAAAAATTGAATGAAATAGCGAAAGAATGAATGGATCTGTAGTAAAATATAAAGGGCAAGAATTGTAAAAGAATGAAAAAAAAAACAATAGAAGAATCGGTAAAAAGAAAAACGTAAAGGAATGAAAAGGAGAAAGAACGAAAGAATCCGTTTAAAGTTTTTGTGATATTGGACGGCTTCGTTTGTCACTTTTGCTATATCAAGCGAAAACTCATTATCACTTCCAAAAATGCGCGTTATATTCGAGAATTTGCCGGTACTAGTAGTAACACCTTCCAATAATATTCGCACTAGTAATACTTGTCCAAGTAGTAATTGTCAAATAGTATAATAATCAGAAGAGAATTGTAATTTGTATAGTAGTAGAGTAGAGATTGTGAACGTATAGTGGATAGACAAGAAGAGTGAACAATGATCAGTATAGCAATAGAGTAGAGAGGAGGAATAGTGATCATTACGCTACTTCGTATTTATTCACTTTATTTATGATCACGTGATCCACTTAATAATGGAATCGCCCGTGTTACTCACTAGTTTCAAACCAAAGTGTCGGCAGCGACACTTACTCTTATACAACAAAAATAAAGAAAGAAAGGAAGAAAAGCCGAAAAGTATGGATCTGTATGAAGTAAAGGAACGAATAGTAAGCGTATGTAAGAAAGGCATTATAATTAAGTAATAGCTAAAGAAATTGAAGAATAAGTATAGAATTAAATTGGATGAATTTTAAAAGAAGTGTTAGAAGGAATGTACAATGGCAAAGAAGGAAGAGTAAATTAAGAGAAAAGACAGAAGAAAGGAATTTAAAAAAAGGAAAACGTCAAATAGAATGAGAGAAACGTAAGAGAAATCAAGGGAGATAAATCAAAAACGAAGAAATTAATGATTTGAAATGAAACGAAGATATCAGAGGTGAAAAAAAACTAAGACAGGAAAAAGAGAACGGAAAGAAATTTGGAAGACGTTATATCTTCCAAAATCTTTTGTTTTTTTATATGAAAAATTGGGAGCAAAGTGCTGCAACAGAGACGAATGGAAACCTTCAATTGAAAATATTCAGTTGAAAAGAGACATAAAAGAAGAAAAAAATAACCAGGGAACTGGAAAATCTTTTGGAAAGAGATTGAAAAGGAGAAATGACAAATGATGAAAATACGCCGAAAAACGAATGTCATTTTAGCGCCATAAATAAACTGCTTGTTGGCCTGACAATAATATGAAGTCTATTGTCTGTGGAATCGGTTCATATTTCGCTTGATAGTGTGTCCTCTTCATATGATGGCGCTTAGCAAGTAGATATAAAAATGATTAAAAAGGGGAAAATCTCAGAGGCTAAAAATCTCACAAATTTATCTTCATATAGAGGAAATCGCCGAATATTATTTGTAGATATATATTGATTAAAATGGTTGCAAGAATAAAAAAGGTAGTCGTAGAAATATATATATATATATATATATATATATATATATATATATATATATATATATATATATTTTTTGTGTGTGTGTGTGTATTGGAAAGAACAGTTAGATTAATTATCCAAAGTTCTTATGTTTTTTTAAAAGAAACCGTGCTCGATACTGAAGTAGAGCTTTATCTATCTATCTATCTATCTATCTATCTATCTATCTATCTATCTATCTATCTACACACACACACATATATACACATATATATATATATATATATATATATATATATATATTATTTATTTAAAAATATGATTCTAACACGCTACATAAGAGGTCACATGTTTCAAAACAAGAGCCGAAAACTTCAATATAATTATTTGAATTAAATTAAATTAAAGTACCAAGCTCTGTTCCATCTTCAAGCGAAATTTTTTTGTACCATTTTTTTGATTCCCCCAAAAAATTCACTTGAAGATGGAACAGAGCTTGGTACTTTAATTCAATTTAATTCAAATAATTATATTGAAGTTTACGGCTCTTGTTTTGAAACATGAGACCTCTTATGTAGCGTGTTAGAATCATATTTTTAAATAAATAAGTATATTTATGCTCTACTTTTGTATCGAGCAATATTTTTTAAAAAATAATAACAAAAATAGTAAAGAACTTTGGATTATTTACCTAACAAGTTCTTTCCTATTTTCTATATATTTTCATATATATATATATATATATATATATATATATATATATATATATATATAATCAACAGAAAGACTGTTTCCTCCGTGTCGCTAGACGTCCGATTGCTTCAAGCTGGGTTCGAAATCCGACTGATTTGACATCATATTTTACCAGTAACCATTGTCGCAAGGGAATTCATATATATATATATATATATATATATATATATATATATATATATATATATATATATATATATATATATATATATATATATATATATATATATATATATATATATATATATATATATCATTAAACAATTTAGACACGTTCGTAATAACGTATAAGGTTTGTTTTCATGATTAAAGAGAGCAGGGACGTAGCGGGATTGCATTTATTGATTTTTATTTTTCCGAGTACTTTCGACATATCCAATATCGTCTTCAGAGTTATGATGGCTAAGACATATATTTGTTTGTGTCCGAAGTTTTTTTTTTGTTTATTTTTGTTGTGAAACCGTTAAACGTTTCTTTCATCTTCAATGTCAAAAATGGTAATTTTTCTTTTTCTAAATTTTTCATATTGTACGCATTTCAATGTAAAGGAATTAACTTAATTATAAATCGAATTTGTTGGTAGGTTATAGTTTGTTTATTTTTACAAAACTGTTTTGTTTTACCGTAGATATTTCTAAAGAAGTATATACTATAAGCTTTTCAGTATTTGTACTATATTCATAATTAATTATTCGTTAAATGTTGCTTTTAATGTTTTAAAGAAATGGCTTCGAGAATCTGTAGTTTCTGCTTATTACCTACTTGGTGACATATACGGGTATTGTCGACTAATATTCTTCTAAATGTCACTTAGGAAACTGCATGTATGACAAGAAATCTAATGTATGTTAGTCATTCTATAATAACGTTATCAAGATGGCTCATTCTACACATGCATGATTCATTGTCCATTGCACAACATCTGCAAAAACATTCCTTTCCACATTCCAATTTCTAAGAATATTAATGTATAATACCCGTAGAATTATCTACGTTGAAACGAAACAGATTTAAAATAAACAAGCAAACGATAACGTCCTAACGAATTTATTTCTTAACTAAAATACCTCCATTACATTAAAATCTTTACAATATGGATTTAAAAAAAAAAAAAAAAAAAAAACACCATTTGTAACTTTGCACGTCACCGGTTTAAGGGTTTAAACACAAAACGAAAATCTTACACACGTGCAGACATACGCATACACACGCACGCATACACCTACATGACCCCCATATATATATATATATATATATATATATATATATATATATATAAACTATGTGAAATTTGGGAAATACTTGAAGACGAATCTCCAAGACTTAGAGGCCATTTGTGAAGAGCAAGAAAAATGTGAAGATGATAATATATATATATATATATATATATATATATATATAGAGAGAGAGAGAGAGAGAGAGAAGGGGGGAGACAGAGAATGGTCATTCTGTGGCATATGGGCAGCCATCCTTGAGGGTAGAACTTACTTTAAGAATGTATTTTTTCTAAGACACTCTTCAAACTTGGAAACCTGAATACTGTGATCGTCAAAATTATCGGCACTATTCATTAAAAAGGACTTTTATAGTCACAATTTAAATTTAATATGGTAAACAAAAATAAAGAAATATATTTAAATAAATTATATCAAAAATTGTATCTACCAAAGATTTATGAAAATTATTTAAATAAAACCCAAATAATCAAACAAAAGAAATTTTACTAAAGACTAAATTAATTAATAGCCGATAATTTATCCTTTTGAAGAGAAATATTTCTGTGATCTTGTAATTTTTCACCAAGTTCTCATCTTCACTTTTTTCTTGCTCTTCACAAATGGTCTCCACGTCTTGGAGATTCGTAGGATTTCACCTTCAAATATTTCCAAAATTTTCAAATTGTATATAAATATCTTCATAGTTATACAACACAGTGGATAGCCAACCTAATCAGAATATCTAACATAAGGACTGAAAATCATTTGCACCAATATAAATTTTACGTCATAACATTTTGGCCACATGCTATTCAAGGTCAGAGGACACGATATCGAAAACGTTGAAACAGTACGAAAACACGAGATCTTTAATTTGAATCCAGATATTGATAACTGCCTATCTTTCTGTGATATTTTCTTGTAATTGTTCATCAATTTCTCATCTTATTTTCTTTATCTTGAGAAATGGTATCTTGGAGATTCTTATGTCTCCTTTTCGTAACCCTCATCTCCAACCGTCTCCACACATTTTCTATTAGATTAATATCATGGTAAAATGGCAAACCTATTTGTCTCCAACATTTTTTCTATAAATATCATTTTTTTTATTAATGATTCAATCTCAAGAAATGCGTAATAATTTATGAAAAAGAAAATCTTCATTAAGGCGAGAGAACAATAAAAGCGTATGAGAGCAAAGTGCTGCAACAGGGTTTAAACACAAAACGAAAAATCATATATAGAAAATATACCCGTAGAAATATATATATTTATCCTTTTGAACTGAAGTGTTTCTGTGATCTTACACACGTGCAGACATATGCATTCCCAATAATGAAACAGAAGATTACGATTGGCATTTCAGTTAAATTTTTGAAATCAAACTTGACTGGAATGCACAAACTATAAAAGAGGAAGAATTTAGAAGAAAGAAGATGATGATTGACATTGCATTTATATCACTCATTTCACCCCAATGCAAAGTAATAAAGCCACTAAGATGCAACAAAGAAAAAAATCATTCTTAAATAGAAAGAACAATAAAAGTTTATGAATTAAGTTGACAGAAAATAACAATTGACTTTGCATTTAAATTTTTGAAGATCAAGGTTAACTAGAAAGCAAGAGTAGGCCAGTGAGTTCCATAAACGATAATTGCGATAAATGCGAAAGAAAAAAGAACACGTGGTTATATATCTCCATTTCAACTGTAAAATGATGAGACCTAACGGCCAATCTAGTAGTACGCTTAAATTTGACGAGGTACCGAGGAAAAAGATTAACAGAACAACTGTCATGAAAATATTTATAGAAAATACAAAGGGAGGCTATATTACGGTAGGGGTTGAAGTGATTGAAGACAATATGCCAGATCATGAGCGATCATATTGCAGATTATTGCTTGAATTTTATCCTGAACATGGAAACCCATCTGCGGGAACACCAGACAAGAATTAAATTTTCTTGCGGGAAGAACTGTCCATGTCCCAGATTCAGTTTCTGTAATGCTTTGGTTCATATTGATATATTGTTCTTTTTTTATATAATGGTATCCACTTCAACTACATCTCCATCTATTGATTCGATGTAGTCGCTGCAATTTAATATCCAGTCTATTCGAGAGTGGTTGCGTTGATCAGCCGACTGCCTCCCCAGGAACCTCGTAAATTCTGCTTTTAACAAGGAAAGAGATCACTTAGAGATATATAGCAGGAGTATGACCCCAGAAATAGCAGTAATATTCAATACACGTACGAATGGTATACCCTAATATATATATATATATATATATATATATATATATATATATATATATATGTGTGTGTGTGTGTGTGTGTGTGTGTGTGTGTGTGTGTGTGTGTGTGTGTGTGAAAATATATAGAAAATATGAAGGAACTGGTTAGGTAAATAATCCAAAGTCCCTTAGTATTTTAGTTATTATTTTTAAAAAGTAGTGCTCGATACAAAAGTAGAGCATAAATATAATTATTTATTTAAAAATATGATTCCAAATCGCGACATATGAAGTCCCATGTTTCAAAACAAGAGCCGAAAACTTCAATATAATTATTTAAATTAAATTGAGTTAAAATAAGCTCTGTTCCATCTTCAAGCGAATTTTTTTTGGAATAACGTGTTTCTGAAATTTACGTGTTTTAAAAATTGAAATCAAAATTTCCATGGTAACAGCTAGGGCGAATTGTTTAAGTTGGGTAGGCGGGTGTTGGGTGTTAATAATAAGTATCAGTATAGAGTTACTTTCGTAGATGTCAAGTCAGTGAAAGGTGGGGGTGTCTAA